CCAGGGGGGCGGGGCCTGCTCCTCCAGGAAGTGGACACGGTGGGTCCAGATGGTGGACCTGCAGGGGGAGGGGCAGCGGGCTGGCTGGACGTGGGCTCTTGTGCCGCCCTGGTGACACGCACATGCCCACGCCGCCAGTCCCTCCGCACCTGGACATGCCAGGTATGAGCCATGCCCCACAGAAAGCCCCGGGCGCTGCAGGGTGTGTGAGCGTGTGCGTGTGCACGGGTGCATGTGTGCACAAGCACAGCTCCCGCCTGGAGTCCCACGGGGTGGCTGTCCACGTCTCCATAGCAGGCTGGGTTGTGGTGACCTAGCCCACCCACTGGGATCCGCTCTCAGGGGACCACGGATCTGGTGGTGGGAAACGGTCGGAGTTCCAGGAGTGGACGACCTGTGACCTCGGGTGGCCTTGGCGACCCCCCGCCGGGACTGGACGCCAGCCCCGGCCCGCACTCTGCCTGTCGTGCTTCGCAGGCGTCCGGTCTGGGAAGGCCCTCTATGGCAGGGCCTGAGGAATGGCCACAGCCAACACCAGAGTGGGCAGCAGTGACCCTGTGGTCGCCACGCCTCTCCAGCCGTCCCCCCTCGGGGCCTCACTCAGGCAGGCGGACCGCCCCTGCTGTGAGCAGACGGCAGCCCCAGGACATGGGCAGCACTGCCCCGTGCTCGCTTCAGAAAGGGTGAGCCGCGTGGCCGGGAGATCACACACAGGCGGGCCAGCGCGAGACTGGAGAGGCTGCAGGAGAGGCGCCGCTGCTTCCTGGGTATGCTGCGGGGTGCACGTGCTCACGGTGGAGAGACAGAGGAAACGAGAAAACCCCTGGGGACAGCCATGCTGTCATCCCTTCTCCGTTCTTTTGGGACTTTGGCCACGCACACACACCCAGCGTATTTCTCAAGCTACCAGGTCCGGGGCTTGAACCATGGTTGTCCATGTGGGAGTCCAGTGTCTTAACCTCCACTTTGCTTGTTGGCCCCAGTGTTTTGTAGTTTGGGGGCAGAGAAAACACACGCACTTTGTTAAAATTATCCGTATTTTGCTTTCCATGCCGTTTACGTGACTTTAAACGCACTTTTACAACGGTTTGCTACTGGTCTGCAGTGACGATGCCCCGGGCGGTGTGTGTGACTGAGCTCACCTCCCAGAAAACGCTCAGCTGGGTCTGATGTCCCCTGGGACGATCATGTCGCCTCTGAGCGAGTCCTCCTCCTCCACTCCTGCCTCCTGACGCCTGCACCGCTGCCCCCGGGGGCGAGCGGGCGACCGGCACCCCGGTCTGAGATGGGTGTGAGCGGCCAGTACTCTGCAGGGGTGTTACCGGGTGGAGAAAGCTCCCTCCTGTCTCTGCTCTGCGATTTAAAAACCAGGACCCAGAACTACCCTTTAGTAGGTGTTCCGGCACCTGGTTCTGATCAGCCCTAGGAGGTGCTGCAGCTTGCTCGTTCACTCCAGAAACCCCACGCTGAACCCTGACCTCACGGCGATAGCATCAGGACGTGGGCCTTCGGGGGACTAAGAGCCAGCGCCCCGAGGAGGGGGGCAGTCCTCGGCAGACAGTGACCGGGCACCTCGGGCTCGACTGTGGGCGGGCAGCAGTGGCGTGGTGGCTGAGGCCCTGCACTCCCCGGTGGCTGACAGCAGTGCGAGTCCCTGACCTGGTGGCTTGAAAACCACACCAGGCACGCGTGTGTGCCCCAAACCGTAAGAGAATGGAGAAGGGAACACAGCGTGGCCACCCCCCGGGAGGTGACTTCTTTTTCCCTCTGTCTCCTTTCCGGCAAGTGCACAGGACCTGTGGCAAATTCTAGAACAAGACAAACCAGCGTGGGGGGCTCTGCACCGTTGGCCCCCCCCCCGCCCGCCCCCGGGCCCCGCCGACAGCCTACCCAGCTTCGCGCCCACACACTCCGCACCGTGGTGTCGCTGCATCTGTCCTGAAAGGTCTATGTTCTGCTGCTGGTGTGGGCCACGCAGACTCAGGGCTGCTGCTCCGCCCTGGCTCCTTCCGGGGCCTCAGGTCTGGGACCCCACGTGGGCTGCACATCAGGACTGGAGGGTCCTGGCTGACGGCCTTTCCCCCGTGCATGAGTCATCAGGTTCGTGGGGTGAACAAGGCTTCTCCCAAGCCGTGGGCCGGCATTCCCAGCCGAGACCCAAGAGATGGCAGCGGAAGCTCTGGTCTGTGCCGGTCGCCGTGGGGCCCCGATGAGGACGGGCAGGGTCCAGCGCTGGTCGGGCCCTCCCAGGCACCCCAGGTGCAGGCCGCGGGCTCAGCCACCCAGGGCAGGGGTGCCCTGAGCCAGCGCCCTGACCCTGGACCCCGGGCGCCGGCTGCAGTCCCAGTGTGCAGTGCCAGGGGCAGCACGTGGGGCGAGGGGTGGTGCACCGTGTGGTCACCCCGACACCCACTCCGCCCTGGCCCAGTGCGTCGGCCGGCTGCCGCCC